AACATCACACAGGAACTAAAACTCCAGGCTCTAAGTACAGGAGATCAGGGGGATCCTGATTTCCAGTCCTATTCACAACTGTAATAAATGTAAAACAATTCCTAGATTTTCAAATAAGATGTTGAAGGACAACAGGGCAGAGAAAGTTTGGCTGTATTTGGACAGAGAGGGTGGTGATGTGAACCCTATGAGATACTGAAGAGGAGCCGGACACTGGCAGCAGTGACCCAGACTGAGTGTGCAGGGCTGAGATCACAGAGAGAGAGTCAGATTCATGTAACTGGTGCAGAATAGTACAGACTCCGTATTCAGAGGCTGAGAGAGAAGAGTGAGAGAAGAGAGAGTAGAGAGATTCAGACTCAGTGGGATTGGTGCAGAGATTTCCCATGTGACTGGACTGAAATAACCCACCTGACAAGGCATCTGGGCTCTGAGGTACAGTTACTGCATCATCATAGTACTCTGGGATCTCTTCTTTCACAGAGGTTATTGAGTCTCCTGAACCACACAGAGAGACAGAGAATGTACACTTCATGACTCAGACTTAGTTTGACCATTGAGCTGCAAAGTAACTGTAAAGTGTGATTTTAAATGTTTTGTGGTGTATAGTTAAGCCAAAACTCTAGGATCGCTGATTAATCTGATCTGAAAGGCAGTTTGTACAGCATGCTCTTCCGCAGTCTCCTTTTTTATCAAAACCAATTAATGCAGCACCCTGTTTACCACCCCAGTATTGACCAGTTCTAGTTTTGCTCAGCATCTGTGATTTGCTGAGATAAGGCTAGTGTGAGGCAACACTGAAGAGCAGACTCCCCTCACCTGGTACTGGGTCTCCCTCACTGTCCTCCACATCATCGTATCCAGAGGGCAGCTCGTCAGAGAGGAATCTCCCTTTGAACAGGAGGACAGATCAATATTACCTGCAGTCAGACAGCAGACTCATTGTCTTCCACTGGCTGTGGAAGAAGCCAGGGTGTGAACAGTATCTCAGAGTTTGTGTGTATAAGGCAGATCAGGACCGGAGCAGTGCTGATTTTCTTCCGTTATTTTAACACCAGTTGAGAAAAAAAATCCTACGGGTTTAAAACCAGTATGGTGAGATTTTCTACAAGTGTTAAGTCCTCAGATTTTCCTTAGAGGGTGAAGACTAATCACACCTGAAGACTCTCTCCACTCACCTCTCCTGGGGGCACTGTAGGTTCCCTCTCTGGCCAGTTTGTACTCTATTTCCTCGTAGACAGCATCATGATAGGGGGTGAGTGCTCCCTTAGATAGGGCTGTGTGAGGAAACAGACATTCAGGGTTAACATGCAGGGAGCAGAGTACAAGATCAAACATTGACTACTAAACCTTCTTTGGACATTACAGCACATAAATGTTATGCTTCTGGATTTGCAAATTTCCTGATATCTCCATCTTTAATTGTTGATAATCTTTCTTAAACTTCAAATGGTTTTCTCTACCAGGTTTATTCCTCAAGGAAATTATATAAATATCAGTTCCATGTGAGTGACAGAAATGACCACTAGAGGTCACTATGTGGATGGTGAGTTCTCTCCCTACCTTTCCTCAGCTTCCTGTTCTGGATCAGCTGCCCCACTAACAGGGCCAGCACCACGAAAAGCAGAGCCCCCAGCAGCAGGAGGACCATGGGTGAGGCAGATAGACCTCCCAGTGGCTGTGTCTGGGGTGTTGTCCTGGTTCTGCCTGAGAGGGGGGGAGACAATAGATGAAAAGGGATCAGGAGAGGTGCTCTTGGGCTCATATACACTTCAACACATGTCCTGTTCTCCTCCTGTTCCCATATGGGGCTCATGGCTTCAGGGTTAACCCAAAATCAGCGAAGAATATAAGGATTCCCAACCTTACCCATCAGAACTGTCAGTAAATCAGTGAGGAAAGAGATGACACTAGCACTAGATCTACACTGGGAAGATGAAATTACTGATTTTCACCCTGAGAGAGGAGAGGAGACACTATAGCAACACTGGGAATCTGAAGAGACACTGATCTTCACACTCAGGGAGGAGAGGAGACACTACAGCTACACTGGGAATCTGAAAAGACTGATCTTCACACTGAGAGAGGAGAGGAGACACTACAGCTACAGTACACTCAGAATCAGAAGAGACATTGATCTTCACCCTGAGGGAGGAGAGGAGACACTACAGCTACACTGGGAATCTGAAGAGACAGAAAGACAGGAGTTATCAATGACAGGGAGGATTTCTGTTCACCTGTAGCTGTTGTTGGACTGGCTGTTGTCTCTGACAAACCTGTAAAAGAGACAGGAGAACTGTCAATATATTGCCTTTGGTTTTACAGCAGGTTGAATCCACAGTGGTCTTAATAAAAAAACGTTATATTTGTTGTCAACCTTGAGGTCAAATGTAGGATTGCAGGATGAAAGGTGTCTTGTTCTGAATTAAAGACTAGTGTTGTTCACATACACAGGGCTACAAAACATCCCAATCTTGTGACTGATGATCTTAGCTGGTTCAGTTAGATATTAAGCAATGATAGAGTATGGGTGACATCAGTCTAACTTCTCCATTGATCTGCTACCTTGTTCATCTACAGTTCTAAGACTCTCCTCACCTGTACAGGTAACCCCTGCATCCTCCTTGTGTCGACAGTCGCTCTGATTCAGTCCAGAGTGACAGCAGTCCCACAGGTGAAGT